CGCTGTGCAGTTCAGGCTGGCCTTGAGCTCACTTTGTAGCCCAGGCTGGCCTCGAACTCACAACAATCCTCCTGCCTTAGCCTTCTAAGTGCCGGGATTACAGGCGTGTGCCACCACTCCCAGTGTGTAAAATAATTTCTATAGATTTAATGAGACAATTCCAGTTTCACAATCTGAAATCATTTCTTTTTAGAAACTGTCTTTTACTGCATTTAGCAGTTAATATTCATAATTTTAATAAAACTTTAAAACTAACATTTCAATAACTGTGTATCCCTATTAGAAATCTAAATCTATTAAAACAAATTGATTCCTTCACTGAGTTGTAGTCTTTCTATTTCCAATATATTACTAATCTCTGTAGATTTGTTTAAAACTGAATTTTTTTCTTTCATTTCCCTCTTATTTGGATGGAATTTGAAAAGAGGTCCCTGGCCTTGGAAAGGGTTTGTTTTCCCCACACTCACAAAGGCCAGTAAGCCCTGAAAAGCTAAAAGAACTCCAAAAATAATAACCAGAGTGAATAAAAATAGCAGGATTCACCACTGCTTGATAATCAGATAGAAATATAAATGCTAAGAGGAAGTAAGTAAAAATGTAGCCAGGATTGGTGTTTACATAAAAATTTGCACAGTGCCTGGAGCTCAGGGCAGAATAGTCAATAGTTATGTTGGTAATAACACCTACTCATCCAATTGATATATTGCTAGCCCTGTTCTCACAATAATTAATTTGATACAGATTCCCAGAGAAACTTGTTCCATATTGATTTTCCATATCACAATTTCATTCTCACATTATTCAGGGAAGTATGTAGGTAGTGGGTTTATAATATTATTATCTTATATTGAGAGGTAGGTTGTGGAAGGGATGAAAATATTATTGAAATGAATAACTTTCAGGTGAAGAATATATTTTGTTATATTTATATTTTAACCTTTAGTCAAAAGTTCATCCTTATGGTTCCTTTGCTGGAAATGTGGAATTTTATTGTATTGTATTGTAATGTATTGTACTGTATTTTATATGTGATGAGGTCTCCCTATGTTGTCTAGATTTCTGGGTTGAAGTGATCCTCTATATTCTGCCTTTGGGACACACCAGTGTGCCTGGCTCTGTATGTGGAGTTTTAAGCCTTAAAAACTATGTAAAAGTTTTGAGTTATTGTAAGACTTAATTTGATGAATCTTCAATTGTCCTTCCTTGTAAGAAAAATTAGCTTGTGGTCTCCATATTGAAATACATGTTTGAGAAAATCCCAGAGTAGGCACCTTTCTGGCTTATGTTTTGATATTAACTTATTCACCTATGGTCAGAATCCAAGAATCCATTTATTTGGGCAATGTCAAAACTCAGATGAGTCAGTAAGATTATGATTATGATTGTGATTAGCTGCTTTGAAGTAGTAGCAGCCAAGTGCTTTATTCAGAGCTCCCTGCTTGTTAATGGAGACAGTTCTTCCCCATGCACCTCTCCCTCCACATGACAGTATTCCTGACGTATTCCAATTAGCTTCAGATGCCTTCTGTGTGCCAGGTATTTTGTTAGGTTCCTGGGATTCAGAGATAGAAGCCAACATCATTCCTTGCCCTCAAGTTGCTGTCAATCAAAGGGAGGAGATGGGCTAGCTATAATGTACAGTGAATACTATAATAGGGATCTAACCAAAATATCATTCAATAAGGTTTTTGTAACTGTGTTCTTTTAGCCAGTGGCTAATTTAATCATTATTATTGAAAAATAACAATATTTAATTTCTTTGCACATGCAGCTATCACATATAATTAAATATCTTTTCAAACTGCGTAATGAGCACTCAACTTTCACTTTTTACGTGAATTTTTACTCCCGTGGTAATCATAAGTGTAAGATATCAAGAAATTTCTATGATCTCTCTCTACACAATGACATATCTTTAAGTAATAGTTACTTGTATTAATTGATCCCTAATAACAAATTTGGTATAGTAGCAATACTTAGTTCCTATGGATTTTTAATTCATTTTAATTAAGTTTATCCCTCCTTCAAATTTTCAGCCTTATTGATAAATTAATTTTCAGCAAATTTGAAGAGATTACCTTTTAAATGACTTTTCAAAAACTATCCTGTTCATGATCATTAACCTTTAACACAAAGTAAATATCGTACTTGTGCATAATTAGAGGAGCCAAAAACGAAACTCTTAAACAGTCAAAATTCCCCAGAAGCCAGAACTTTCATCTATAGTGCTCTTTAAAATTAGACGCATGCTTAAAACTAACCAGATAGATTGGGAGGATATCAGTTTGGTCAAAATATTACCTACTCAAAAATATAAGCGATAGCATTTCCCTTGCAATTCCAGGGTAAGATTTTGCATATCCATTTTGAATAACTTCAGTGAAGTTAAGTGATTTGAAATTGAATGCAGTGGGGCAAGCTGCTAAGATAGATCAAAGCTACTGCAGGTCAAGGAAATCAGGGAAAGTGGAGTCAGCCCCACTTTTCAATCCTTTTCATT